CAGCCTCCTGAGTAGCTGGGATTACAGGCACGCGCCACCATGCCCAGCTAATTTTTTTGTAGTTTTAGTAGAGATGGGGTTTCACCATGTTGACCAGGATGGTCTCGATCTCTTGACCTCGTGATCCACCCGCCTCGGCCTCCCACAGTGCTGGGATTACAGGCTTAAGCCACGGCGCCCAGCCGTGGGCCAAGTCTTGAAACTCCAGATGCTTACTCAGGTGTCAGCAGTGGCCGCAGTGGGCAAGGTGGGTGAGTGGGTCCTCAGACCCTTGGACAGCATGTGTGGCATGGGTGATGGCTGTAGTGGTGGTGGGACAACCCTCAGGCTCCCAGGCAGTATGCGCTTGTCTTAGTGGTCATTGCAATGGTCTGGGTAGGCCAGACCCCAGGCCCTCCAGCTGTGATGGTAGTGGTAGGCTGGGTGGGCCAGTCCTCAAGCCTCTGGGAAAAGTGCACAGATGCCAGCGGTGGGAGGTGGGGATAGCTGATTCCAGGCCCTTGGGGAATATGCTTGTGCATTGAGGGAGGGGCTCCAGGCGGGGCAGGCCTGTCCTCAGGCTTCTTGATGGTGTGCCTGAATGCAGGCTGTGGTGGGCAGGATAGGGTGATCCCCAGGCCCTATAGTGGAGTACTTGGGTGATAGCAGCAGAGATGGCTGAGGGCAGAAAGCATCTATCCTCAGGGTGTATGCAAGTAAGCTGAGAACCTGCTGTTAGGGAGTGTGGGGCTGCTGTCACTGGCAGCAGCTGCAGACAGGCAGGCAGGCAGCTCTTAGAATCTGAAGATTGTTTGGTTTGGCCCCTCATGGAGGTGCCTGCAATGGCAACAGTGGGGAGAGCCAGTCCTCAAGGCACATTCACATGTACGGTGGCCCTGCTGCTGAGGAGTACAGTGTTGCTGCCACTGGCAAGTACTTTGGATTCTGGTGGCAGCAGCAGAGGCAACTGGAGGCTGGGAGAGTCCTCAGGGAGCATGGACGCTTGCTGTAGCCCTGCTGCTGGTGGGCTAAGGGTTGTTGTCAGTAGCAGGGGCCCAGGTAGGTGGGTTTCATGCTTTGAGGAGTACATATTTTGGCTTCCATTGTCCTAGGGCAGTCTTCCCAGAGTACTGCAATGCCCATTCTCTGGAGTGCAGGACACTATGTGTGCTAGGGAGCTGGGGATCTTGTCACTTTGCTGGGTTCAACTGGCATCATGCCAGTGCAGCCCTCTGGGAGAACACAGGGGGATGTAATGTCAGAGGGGCTCCCAGGATGTAAAGATGCAGGGGCTGTTGGGGCCCAGGTCAGGATGCAGTGTGGTAGGGGCTGAGCTCTCAAAATTGTCCCCTACTGCAACTGCTCAAAACTCAGAGTGTGTGTGGAAGCCAGAATGAGCTTTCTCTCTGGAGTAATGCCTTTATGTGGTCTCTTGGAGCTCCCTATGGGAATCTCAAGACACACAAGGGTTGAGGAGTTATCTTGTGTCTAGGGTTATAGGAGCCCACAGCAAGAATATGGATCACTGGGAATTTCTCATTTATTTAGATGTGTGTGCGAGTGCATGTGTATGTGTATGTGTATGTGTATGTGT